CACATACACTGTATATATGCACTTATCAACGCGTAAAGGTGCATGTGCGTACACACATCCGTGTATATATATATTGATAATTTTATATAACTGATAGCAAGCCTAGATACATATACGCATAAACATATCAGTATATACATATCGTATATATATATATACACATCAGTCCAAACACAACACGCATATACGTGTAGTATATATATATGTATGTATGTATGTATGTACGTAGTTTATAAATCAGTGTACATATAAACACATTATACATGTACATATGAGTGTGCGTATATACATATCTGTGTACATATACGATAGTAACTGTATTAACTGATAATAAGTATCTATATGGTCATATATATCGGTGTATATAGAAATATATGTATGAATTTATCAATGCATATGGGTGCATGTGCGTGCGCATATTAGGGTATATATAATTGATAGCAGGTATGTACATACACGCATAAACATATCAGTATATACACTGTTAATAAGTATCTATATGGTCATATATATCGGTGTATATATAATGCATGTATTAGTGTATAAATATATACTTACACAATATATAACACTTATCAACATGCAAGGGTACATCTATGTGTACATATCTATGTATATACATTGAAAATTATATATAACTGATAGCAAGCAAGTGTATACATACACACAAACATATCATGTATATACACTAATCAGTCCATACACAACATGCATATAGATATAGTATATATAAATTTATATAAATGTATGTATATGTGTGTAGTATATAAATCCATGTAGATATACATTATTAATTGTATAAATTGATAATCAGTGATATTTATGCTGATATGTGCCACACATGCACCCTTACGCATGATAAGTTCATACATACATTTCTATATACAGTGATATACTTATTATCAGTTTATATAGTTATTAACGTATTTGTACACTGATATGTATATACGTACACTCATATGCATATATAATGTGTTTATCTCGACATTAATGTATAAGATCATGTATGATTTATTCTCTATGATATATACAATTACATGCACAATTTGTGTACATATTAATGTAATGCAATATATACCATTGTTTTCACTGTATATACTGATGCATATAACCATACAATACATTAGTTATCAGCTATATAAACAATTATTATTGTATAAAAAATACATTGATATGTGTATATATGATGTCTATATATATACCATGTGTATATATTGATACGTGTGTATGTGTAAAATGCATAACTACATATGTATAGTGCACTTATATAAACATTTTTATATTCGTTGATGTATATGACCATATATATACTTATCATCAGTTTATATAGTTATTAACGTATAAATATACATACACACACATATAAATATTCATATACTACACATATATGCGTGTTGTGTATGGATTGATGTGTGTATATATACGATATGTATTCAGTGAAATATTTATGCATGCACATATACACTTGCTTGCTATCTGTTATATTCAATTATCGGTGTATATATGCGTTGATATGCGCACACACAT